TTTACTCAAGTCTTGAAAAATAAAACTTTTCATGCTCCAGTCAGTCATTTTTCCATAATAATGTAAGCAGGGGCGATAAAGTCCCTTTCAATCTTAATCGGGAATGCGGCACTTCGTCTCAAAGCGCTTTAGTTTAGAAGCGTAAGTTCACACGTTCTGTTAGCTAAACTACATTGCATTTCAAAACTATACTACCGACACCCTCGAAATTTTGGATTTTCGAATTAACAGAAGAGATCGAGTTCTCCAGTCAGTGTTTGTGATCTTTGAACATATGATATTGAATGAAATGACATCTCAATCAATATGTCTACTCACTTGCTTTTCTACATGCAGAAACGTGTCTATTCTTCCACTGTTTCATAATTATACGGCACCTTTTAAGCATACTTTTTCCGAAAAGAAAACGCAACTGCATTTTTATGACTACTCGGGCTACCGGGCCTTTCTACCACTTCACGAAGTCCATCGAAAAAGCTTCCGACAACTTCATACATGTCTTCGGTTCAATTTGTCACATGCGCCCATAACAAGCTGCTCCAACTTTTTCAATTCCTGGTACTGTTTGTATTTGCTCAGAAACGGTGTGCCAGTAATCGCCAGAGATTTTATGAAGGATTTAAGACAAGACAATAAGGTCACCTTTACAGAAACTGCTCACGATGCTGGCGGAAAACGGCGGTAAGTGACCCGCTTGCATGTTCACATGCGTTGTGCTGCTTCGAAACGTAGTGCTGTCACTGGTGTTTTGCAAAGAAGATGACAGGAAAATGCGCCACCATTTTCTGGCGTAATCTAAAAAATTTAATTTGGGCGACTGTGACAGCTAGAGGACCGACTGGCCGGATGTAAGCAACGTCCACATCATTTTAGCAGGAGAAGCTTTAGCCGAGGTTACTTTATAATCTGGGAGCATTTTGCGTGTTCAAAAGCCCAAGTTTTGATGAAAAATTTTGCGCGCAGATTGCCTAGAAGTACTAAACAGCCAACTACTGTTCGCCTCACACAAGCGCCGGTGACAGCAATATATTCGAAGCATCACAACGCATCAAACGTGCACGCAAGTCACTTACCGCCGTTTTCCGCCAGCATCGCGAGCAGCTTCTGTAAAGGTGACCATAATTCTTGTCTTAAATCATTAAGAAAATCCCCGGCACAGCGTTTTCGATCGGATACAAACAGTACGAATTGAAAAAGTTGAAGCAGTTTGTTATGGAAGCATGTGACAACATTGAACCGAAGACATGTATGAATTTATCAGAAGCATTTCCAATGGACTTGATGAAATGGTAGAAAGGCCCGGTAACCCGATTACTTAAAATGCCGCTTTGCATTTTCCTTTTGTTGGAAATCGTACCTTGCTCAAAGGTGTCGTATAGTTATGCAATAGTGGAAGAATAGACATGTCTCTACATGTAGAAAAGCAAGTGGTCATTTTAATCAATGTCATATGTAGATCACAGAGGCATTGACTGGAGTATTCGATCTCTTCTGTAAATTCGGAAATCCCAAATTTCGGGGGGTGTCGTATAGTTATGAAACGCAATGTAATTTGAAGCCTTGGGTGATACTGGGGCTACCAGCTATTCTCTCATATACTAGTTATCTTTTATCACTCTTACATGCTTGCATATTATTCGTTAGCTTAGTTTGAAACATGTTTCGTCCAAGCAGCAGCAACGTTCCCGCACGATTTGGGCCAGGTATGTGAGAATAAACCTAGCTCTCAAAGCGCATTTCAGGGAGCGTACCCACAAGGCCCCTGCACTCTGCCGAGCAGCCAAGAAGGTTGCTAGCAGAGCCTGTATCGTCGCTTTATGACTGCGTTAGCCGCGGAAAGATCCATATGGACAAAGCTGCGATATTGATACACCCAAAAATGTACTGCGGCTTTTGATGGTTAACGCCCCTCATCTCCGCCCCTCGACATACCGACTCGCTTTTTTTTTCGTTACCCCTCATGTTGCTTTGATCTGTTCCCGTTATTTTCGTGACAACTTGGTATAGAGATGTTTGTAGGAGTTTACACGATCAGAGGTGGCTACGCGAAAATGACTTTCGATGGAATTGAGCCGAGGCTTTCGTGGACGAAATGAGGTTGAAGCCATCGCAAGCAGATTGCAGGTGGTGTGCCGCTTTTTGCAACCAAATAAAGATTAACCTGATCTTTGAGGGCGACATTACTAGGGCTCAAATTAGAAAGGTTGCACGCACACTGGAGAAAGAGAAGACCGTTAACCAAGTATTCTTTCCTAAAGTTGGAGAGGAAAATTGCACAAAAACTTGGGAAATATGGGCGCAGTACTTATTTGTAGAGGTAGTGATCACTACAAAAATTGGACGTAAGTATACATATAGACGATGTCACCCCGCATCGGTAGTGGGCGTCCACGAGCTGAGGCTAAGCGCGCGCGCCGCAGGCGACAGAAACAATACTCGAGCGCCGAAGCGTCTGTGGTTGAGCTTGTGACCTAGGTAAACTTAAGGCTTTTCCTTTTGTTTCCTTCGTCGGAGAGGTCCGACAGTTGGAATGAAGCATTGAAGCGATCGAACGAGAGATTCGATCACTCTTGCTTACGCAGAAACGAGATACTCTACACATTTGAGACAAACAGCGAAGACTGCAAGTTTTAAGTAGCTCATGTTTCCTTGGCGTAAAAAGGAGCCAATGAAAGCAAAGAAAAAATAACAAAATTAAGTAGACAAGGAGAATCATATGAAAACACAGGTAATGATACCTCAGTTGATCGTAAAAATTTTTCAAATTGTTGGAGACTTGAAGTCAGTGCTCTAGAGAAATCATCATGAAAAACACTGCAATGAACAACGCGATGCTAATCTAATAGTTCCAAATCTACCTATCCAAACATCGCTAGATGACCTGTCATGAGTAGTCAAAAAAGCCCAATTTTTTCGAACCAGCGTTGTAGAAGCTGAAACCTGAAAGTATTCCATTGCTAAAAGAGCGGATATTACATGAAGGCACTCAAAGGAAGTCAATAGATAGTCAGTAGAAAAAGACAAGATGACAATCGAAAAGAGCAAGGCGAATCGAGCGGTCACATACAAATCTGACTTCATGCAGCTACTACGCTCGCGTATTGTTTCCATCGCCTGCGGCGCGTGCGCAGCCTCAACTCGTGGACACCCACGAACGATGCGGGGTGACATCGCCTATACTAACTTCAAAAAAGAAGTTGTAACCGCGGTGTCGAATAAGTGGCAGGCACGCAAGAATCTGACGACATTTCAGCGTCTTTTGTCTATGTATCGCTTTCTTCTAACGCAGGTATACACTAACAACAGCCATAAAATTGTTAAAAAAAGTATCGCTTCGGATCACGGACCCGCGTAGCAAAATACAGGAACGTGCTGTTTGCGTAAATAAGGTGAGAGGGACGAAAAACTGAGGGATTTTCCTCCAGACATAGAAGAAGTACTTATAGGTAGCCATAAGATTGATTTCTGGAGATGTTTCTCGTCCCGTTCATAATCGTTTCATTTCAGACTTTGCGGAGGACGCTCTAGGTTACGGGCAGGAGGAGCTGGTACCTGGTTTTGAAGGTAATTTGGAAACGTCCTGGTGCTTTGAAATTCTAGAAAAGCTAATAGAGATTTAATATACTGTCATACTGTTTTTCAAATCTAGCTTCTAGAAAGCCTTGGAAACAATGACGAGGAGGGAAGAAAGGAGCTTTCGCAGTTAGGACGTGAGCAATTTTAGTGAAAGCCACATCTGTGTCACGCCCTACAGAAAGCCTTGTACGTTGTGAAAACAAAGTTAATTTGATTATTAGTAACCCTGCCTTCCAGAAGGAATGTGCGAGCATTAAAGTATAAAGAGAATGATAGTTCGTGGACCCCGAGTAACGTGAGTACTTCAGCAGGGTCAAATATCTTCCACGCCAAGCAAATCCTCAACTCTCCATTTCTCTTGGAACATAAACTCTACATATATTCTCTGATAGTTGCTCTCCACACTTTATATGCACTAAGCATGCCGTCTCTACAAATTTTTATTCATAACTGCTAATTCAGTCTGTGCGTCAATCGCAAGCTCTACGGAAAAGTCTTTTTCTCCTTGATCTTTATTGTTTCAGACGCTTTTGTATCTGACAATGCACAAATATCGAAGAAATCTTTATTTGGCATTATATTGAGCCACAACTACCCACGTCAAAGTTTAGTGTTATTCGCACCGTCTGAGCCTGTTTTGCAATCTTAATTCTGAAGCCCAGATTGCTGTTCTTCCTTACAGCAAATGGCGCTCGATATCCCAAGCGAAATTGTATAATGTTCAGGCTTATTCATGCAAAAGTGGCTTATTTCGTTACTTCAAGGACTTCGCCCGAGTTTTTGAAGTAGCAGAGGACTTTGTTTGTATAAAGCTTAGCAGCAAAGTCGTGCCTGACTTCACACAAGCGTCTCGAAATAGTCAAATTAATTTTGGCCGGAAATACCAATCCCTCAAATAATAGTGGCTTGTTATAGGGAAGAAGATACTAAAATATCCCGCAGTGGCAAAGAGTGAGAAATATCGGGTATATAGTGCGTGTTAATCGCCAAAGTAAAATATTGTTGGATGCAGGTTGGACCAGGCAAATAAAATTTTGCAATGAACACGATTTTTTGGGTTGAAAACGGCGGTAATTAGAATTTACTGATCTTATTTGAAGGAAATGTCTTCTGATAACCTTACTGCTTAGCGAAACAACGAATTTAGAGATAAGTACCTCGTGCGTTTTTGTTTTGACGTCCGTACTGCGCGTGCAACTTTCACTTTTCTTTCTTATCACTCAAACATTTGGAAAAGTTTCAGAGTTGAACTTTAGGTTCTGCATTGTGAGACGAAGCTACAGTTAATCCTAAAATTGGAAATAAAAGTTTATCCGATCGCGCAAATAAGTAGGGTGGCATTTTTTCTGTGTATGAACTAGAAAAGAAATTTTGTCTGAAGAAGGTTGGGTAAAACTGCAATCTGAGTAATTCACAACTTATTTGTCAGGGTCGTCATTTATTAGATCATCGGTGACACATATACAGATTTATTGTAAGCTGCATTTTACCATGATACCGCTCCAGGGATATATTTATCGATTAGCGATTGATAATAAGGTTTCAATTTCTCTATGTCTGGTTTCTCGTCGCATTTTGAATATAAATCGCAGCTGCTGAAAATAAGTTTGATTTGGAATGATTTCAAATTTCGTGAATAAAGGATTTTCATCATTCACTTACTTGAGCAGTAGTAAAACATCCAATTTCTCTTCATCTTGTTTGTTCGTGAAATATCGGTAAGCATTATGCGAGTGATATGGATAGAAAGAGTGAAAGCGTATTGCGTAAAGTGCCTCTTCAGGAAGCGAAGATCCGTGATTGACTAGAACCTAAAAGTCAAAATTCACAAAGGTGAACTTCCAGAACGAATTTTTGGCTCGAGAAAAATTATGTGAGTTTCAAGATAAACTTTAAGAAAAGCTTGTACTTTGGAAGCTAACAATAAGCATAATATGACGCGGTCAGTGTTCTATCATATTTCCCTTTTTCAAAAGTACAACAGATTTTCTTTTGAAAAAAATCGGCGGTCGGGCAGGAGGCAGCAAAGGCTCGCCGCTTCTGCTTATGGAAGTACCTGAGGAACTTCAGACTTCCTCTCGCCTCTAATTACTTCTTCGCACTTCCAACTATAGATGACCTATGCCAAATTGATCGTTGATTTCTCAAAGCGTGGCAAGTTTTGAGATAGCTTTTATGTTTTAAATTCGTAGCAAGTAAGATAGATAACAAGTTCAAAAAGGACTCATAGATTCAACGTCAAATGATTTTAAAGTATGAATTGGTCTATTCAATCTTCAGACCAGAATCTCAAACACAAACATGTGAATCTTTCTCAGTTATTCCGATCGAAGACAAGAACCTTGAAGAATTATTGCACTCGTCCTTTATTCTGCATCAGAATCAGTTCCTTCTGTTGCGAATTTTGGAGTAAAATTTCCTGAACCCAATATCCAAATAAGTTGAAATCGATTATAGTTGAGATTGAAAGAAATTGCGAGAATCTTAAATTGATCCGGGGTGAGATACTCTCCAAAAAGATTTTCGTTCAATTCTTCAACTTGTAAAGTATCAGAGGTGTGAAAAATGATTAGAGGCGCGAGGAATCTGGAGCTCCCCAAGCGCTTCCAGAGGCAAATGCGGCAAGCCTTTGCTGCCTCCTGCATGACGTCCAAAAAAATCAAGGTCAGTTCTTTGCGAGATAGACGAAAATTTCATCTCCATCAATTGCCCGTATCTAATGATTCTTCTTAAATTTATCAAATCAAAGCATTCTCTATCTTTACCTGATACATATATTCATCATGACTCCAGCACATTTTCAGATTTTCCAGACCGCACCCAGCTTCGTATATACCCAAATTTGTCCTAAAAAATTTGATTATTGTAAGCAGCTAGAATATCGGGTTGGTATTCACCTATATTTAGGATTGTGCAAGTCTGGGTTTCCCTCAAAGCTTCTGACCCCGTAGACAATTGCATCCGATGGCGCGCAACCGACCGGGTAGGTGTCACCTTGAAATGGTAAAGAATAATGCACTACTATGCATTTCTTCAGAATTCAGTTTTGCATCGCTTCTATTATTAATAACAAATTCATGTTATGGTTTATCCTACGTAGTCTCTGAGTTGAAAAATCACGCAGGAGACTTGTTTCTACTAGTGAATCATTAAAGTACTTTTTGAACCCCTCAGTAATCTGATTGAACCTGGAGAAAAGTTGTCAAGAGACGAAGCTGCCGCCCCCTTACCTCCCCCTTATTCAAAATTTTGGACTTATTGGCACGCGGAAATTTTGAAATGCGTCCTTCAATTTTGAAGGGCGTGGGTGCCACAGATCCGGAAAGAATGACTCCTCTCCCCACCCCTTACAGAAAACAATTTTTTGGGTCGCCATCGGTTTATGAAAATTCAATCATATAGTGCAATTCTTTAATATTCAGTAATAAAAGATTTGTGCGACAACTTACCCGTCACTGCCCACTGCTCTTCTCCCCACACGCTCATGACTTTTCCCAAATCGTGAACTAGACCAACGAGATGTAACCATGGTTTGTCGGGATGAGATTTGCGAAGGTGTTCTGCGGTTTGATAAGCATGGATAAGGTTTGCTTCGTCAACCTAGAAAATCGTTAAGGTAGATCATAGGAGCAAAAACAGAACAGACGTTATGGAGTAAAAGAGCGCGGAAAAAACAATAAGAGGCTCTAACTCACGTCCGGGTCACTCTCATCAAGAAAATCAGCAAGCATCTCCAGGGTGTCTAGAATAGATAACCTGCCGTGATTGAAAGACAGCCACTTTTTGTGCTAAACGACATGATCAGATAATTTTTGAGAAAGAAGTTTTGGATATCTCACTTACCATCTCGTTTACAAACTCTACTGTTTGTAGCCTATGCTGGTTGTAATAGTGCCTTCTCACTCGTTCTTGGATTCTATCTTTGGGATCTTCCTCGTAAGTTCTATATGTTTTACCCTCTTGTTGAAATTGTGCACAGATTCCTGCAGTCATTCTGAAAGAGCAAAATTATTTATATTAGTAGTAAATCAGCATATTAGGGAGATATTATAGAAAAACTGCATTATAAGGAGAATGTTGGACAATGACGAACGCTTGTCTACAAAAGACTACGCCATAAATCGAAGGTTAGGCTATTTGCCCGCGGAGAATGCGTAATCGTGAGGTCACCAACAAGTCAGGCGGAAGTTTTAAGTGGTCATAAAAAGATGATGACCCGTCTGGTCGATTATTGACCTCGACAAAAAACAGGATTAGCCTAAGTGTTATGTGAACAAGATCATTGTAAATGGGTTTTTATTTTGGCTCCTTTTCATGGAAAATGGCTATTCACTAGGCCAGCGTCCTAATGAATAGCCTTTTTCTATAAAAAGAAGGTAATATCGAAATAATGAAAAGTGCTAAAATATGGATGACCGGTAAAAACATGATATCCAGAAGCTGAGCGACATGATGGGAAATAACGAAAATATTCTACGCCCCTAGTAGTATGGATATTTTTTCAGACAGTACGTTTACTTCAAGCAAACTCAGTCAAGCACTTGATATGTTGGATTCACTGGAATCAATCTGTTCAAAGTTTACAAGAATTTAGCCTAATTTTAGTACCACAACTCATCTTTGGGCAGAACACAAATATCTACGGTCAATTCTCAGGAATTTCTAGTGATGGTTTTTTAAAGAACATTTTAGGCTGCATTTCATTTCTAATTTTCGTTTGGGTGAAGGCTATTGATGCCGTGACTTACAGCTCACTTTTCTGTCTGACTTGAAAGATCAAAAAGCTACTCAGTTTCTCCTTACTACGGCACAAAATTATTAATGATCACGCTGTTTTTTCGACTAAAAACAATACTGTTAGAGAACCATTTTTGTAGAGCTACTGACTTCAGTATTTTGGGTCATCCTATTTGTTTATCTTTTCGGCACGCTCAAAGCAGAATGGTATTGATTTAACAATCGTATTAGTCACTTTGATATCAGTACCGTAATCCTACAGTAATGAAGAGCGATAGATGATTCGCACAATACTGCAAATCTAAGCTAAAGCCAGCTCTACAAAATGGTTCCTAAAGCTTCTTGAAACACTTCATTACAAAAGAGTTATTTACAATCAAACAGCAGGCATATTTTTTTGGAACACCCTGTATATAAAGCTTCGGCTTATCCGAAGAACAAAACTAAGAAAAAACAGAAAAGGAGCAAGCCAGTACGAACTGGTCACCAAAGTTTTCCAGTACAAAAGACGTATTACAGTTTTCATATCACTTCACGCCTTCCTCTGTCTTGGTCACATTGCTCTCGGACCGGTTCTCTAGTCCAGTTTCGCTGACATAGTTGATTTATCGTACTTCAAGGTCTATTAGTCTTACGCAATGAGGAAGTAATACAAGCAAGCAAGCAGAAAGCGGTGGTAGGCATAATATTCTCACTGGCTATACGAAGCTTCAGTCACTGATTGCGCAAAGCAAAACATTTGAAGAAGTGAGCGCAGCGAAAACTAAAATAATTTTATACCCAGTTTTGAAAGATGCTGCGCAAATATCAGATCGTGCAGAAAGTTTTGTGGTTTGTTTCTCGATCACCGAAACTCATAGAACACCGACGGAAGGACGATCTAGTTACCTCTTAGTTCAGTTTTTTGTCCCTTTCTTTAGCTATATTTCCTCTCTGATCTATGCTGTTCCTGCAATTATCGCCATGGCTCTCTATGCCGCTGACCGATATCGCCAAACCTTCCCAGAATTTTGAAAAATCCTGTCTCAGTATTGCAGGACGCTGGTAGATTTCATATAGAGTAAACATTTGGGCTACATTACATCATTCCAATTTACATAGACCACGTCTATCAAGTCTGTAATAACAAATTTCGTAAAAAACGCGGTTTTTGACACGTTTGGCGCTTAGAAATACCGGAATTTCAAGAGGCTGTTTCTTCACAGCAAATCAGACTTGATTATGTTGCACAGTGAATGTTCAGAAATAATCAAGTTTTAAGTGTTGGGTACCTTTGCTCAATAGCTTTAAGAACAACGAAGAAGCTTAGCTGTTGATTTTTAGTATATTTACAAAAGTAGTTTGTTCTGTTGTGCATGTAAATAATCATGTGCGAATTGTTCGTACTATAGTTATTGTCTTTGATAAGTGTCATTTTACATTTATGACTAAGATAACTTACATAAATAATTTTAAGCAAATTCTATAACGAAAACCGTGCGAACAACACAAAAGCCGCGCGCAGCCACAATACCGCGCAAACATCCACAGAGACTGGGCGACCTCCACAGTGATCGCGCCAACCGCAAAGACAGTGCATCCGTAGACCGCGCAGAACCACAAAGACGGGCAAGCGTGCAGCGTTTGTATTGCTGTTGGGTGAGCGCCCACAATAACGGAGCCGTGCCAATACCGACTGGGCACATTCGAGTCCATCGGATGGCCCGGAAAAGTGAAAAGCGCTCGCATGGTATTTGTGGCCTGTTCGGTACTTTTGCCTGAGGTGGTGTCATTGCAAGAATTGACAGAGTGTCGCGCATATACGGCGTGCGCACCGCATAGTCCCAATCATAGGTGCGATAGGGGGAGCCGGGCTCTCCCCAGGTGAAGGGGGTCTCGACTGTTCCCGACCTTCCAGGTGAAGGGGGTATGTGAGCCTGGGGGGGGGGGGGAGGGAGAGAGAAAAGGTAAAAAAGCGTGGTATGAAGTGCTCTAATTTGTACCTTATTTAGGGACAAATTGAAAATTTTTTTTTCTAAAATTTAAAAAAAATAATATCAGGTTGAACCGGAAGTTCTTTCGCACCAAATCCAAAATTCACAATTTCTGAATTTTCTAACCGATTGGACCGCTCTTATTTTAATATGAAAGAGTAGGTCATGCTCTTTATAAAGACAATCAATTGCTTACTAATGATCATCTATTGCACAGATAGGAGCGGTAGAATAAAATTGGTCAAAAACTGAATTTTCTGTGTAGGGTCATAAAAAATCGGAAACTTGCAACAAAAATCGGAGCAGTCGGTATTGTAGGTTTTTTCACCAGCTCTTTCTAACTGTGCAAAGTTTGCGCAGATTGAACGTCTCTATAAAAAGTTACGATTTTCGAGCAAGCAGTACAAAAGGATGATTTTGGTTTATTTTGGCATTTTTCAGGGAAATTACAACTTTTCATAGAGACGCTCAATCGGCGCAAACTTTGCGCTGCTGGAGAGAGCTGGTGAAAAAACCTACAACACCGACTGCTCAGATTTTTGTTGCAGATTTCCGATTTTTTATGACCCTACACGAAAAATTCAAATTTTGACTAATTTTCTTCTACAGCTCCTATCTACGCAGCAGATCATTAGCAAGCATCTAAGAAGTCATTATAAAGAGCATGACTTACTCTTTCAGAAAAAAATAAGAGCGTCCCAATAGGCTGGAAAATTCAGAAGTTATGAATTTTTGAATTTGGTGCGGAAGAACTTTCGGTTCAACCTAATAAATCAAAAAAATTGACTTTATGAAGATCTGTGCTCCTATTTCATTGCATCGACAAAAAAAGAAAGCAATAAGGTATCCCAAAAGATGTACAAGCTAGGAACAACTTACAATTCCTGCACGTCATCATCAACAATATCACTATCGCTAACGTCAGAGACAACAAATTTGCTGCCTGAAAGATCTTCTTCTTCTGTCAAAAGATCATCGGAGTAGAAGTAGAATTGCGTCAAAAAGCGTTCTGAGTCGAAAATGGATTTGAAACGTTTTTCTCCTTCTAAGCGCTTTTGTGTTTTTTTCCTGGCCCCCTCTGGTAGCACCAGGAAAGTCAGCAGGTAGGGACCAGTTTCTTCATACCATCTTTTAGGATATTTCAAGAAGTCGTACGATGTCATCCCGTCTGGACCACTTATAGCAATCCTTTGAACGAACTTTTTAGATAACAATATGTTTAGTAGAAGGTTGACAAACCTTAAGTAATTGCTTAGATGCTCCACCGTTGTGCGACTTCTGCGTTGTGTTCTGATAACAGAGTAGATAGAAAATCCTCTCTCCACCTCTGCAATGCTAGTCGGAATGGAAACTAGCTTTGCTAGTAAGTCCATCAGATTTTTGCGGTAAGTAATGGGGAAAGAGCCAGATCACATATGTTTTCGCAACACGAGAAGGAAATATTGCATACCTTTTTGGGCCTTGTCGAACTCTGGCTTCACCTCCTCTGGCATAAGTCCTGTTAGCTGATAAAGCTGCTCAACTTCTTCTCTAACAGCATCTGCGGAATAGCCAAAAAAAGTAGATACTATGCTGCTCGTTGGTTTTTTTCCTATGCTTTGTACTAACACCTTCCTTTTGTTCATATCAATGTTCGTGAATTTAGCAGCCTTGAAATCTTCAGCAATCTGAAGATCAGCAATGGACTTCTTGGACTTTTCCTCATTGGGACTAGGCAATCTGCTTCTGATGTACGAAATAGAGAGTTTCGCTCAAATGTCAACTCTGTATTAATGTCGACAACATTTTCGTCGGCGTAAGATTCTCCTTCTGCCTCGCTGTTGAATTGGAACACATGCGAGTCATCTGCGATTTTGTAAAGTATTCTGCCTGCCGTTTCTTCTTCAAACTGCCAAACTTTCCAAAACATTGAAGGATATTTCAATAACGTGTTGTTCTTCTGAATGCCTCAAAGTTTTTGATTTATTGAAACCAACCATTCTCTACAATTAGGTGAGTCTAGAGCGCTTTCACGAACGTGACCTTCTTCAGCACTAGTTTTACAGAGTATAGATTCCAGAAATGGGCGGGTTTTGTGTGAAGGTGTGGAAACTCACCAATATCCCAGAGTTCTTTGAGTATGTGCTGATAATGATAGCACAACTGTCAATCAAAAGCGCATTTTTTTACTAAAAAAACATAAACATATAACAACGATGAGCACGCTTGAATAGACGCGCTCGCTCGCGTTCCCGTTAGTGCTGATAACGATGTCAATCCACAGCACATTTTTGCTATTAGCTTGCTCCATCTCGCTCTTACAATGTATTGGCTTTTATCGGTTACCGGAGCAAATGATTTTTAGAGCCGGGAAGCAAAGAAGCCCTAACATGCTGTATACCATTCAAAAGCTGAGATCATGGAGAATCGACGTAGACCGTCGACTTTCTTCTAGGTCTTCTGTGCCGCGAGATATGAGGGATTTTATGTGCTTCAAAAAATTAACTGATTTTGTGTCCTCACTTTTTGCTCTCCAAATAAATTCTACAAGAAAGTCGACGGTCTACGTTTGTTAATGAAGACTTGCTCTTTAACACAGATAGATAATCAGCAGTTATTAGGTCTTCATTTGGCAGGAATCTGCTGTTGAAAATGACCATGTTTTTAGGCAAAATGCGGTGTCTCTTGGTAGAGGGGGGCTAGAAAGAAGTCAACGGTCTAGGTCGAATCCACTTTTCCTGAGCTTTCGAATGGTTTATAGGTTGCTGGGCGAAAAAACTAACCAGTTTTCAAAAATGGGGTGGAGATATTACTATTAGCTTGCTCCCCAGCTCCACCAATGTATTGGCTTTTATCGGTTACCGGAGCAAATGATTTTTAGAGCCGGGAAGCAAAGAAGCCCTAACATGCTGTATACCATTCAAAAGCTGAGATCATGGAGAATCGACGTAGACCGTCGACTTTCTTCTAGGTCTTCTGTGCCGCGAGATATGAGGGATTTTATGTACTCCAAAAACCACCTGCTTTTTTGTCCTCACTTTCTGCTCTCCAAATGAATGCTACGGGGATAAATAAATAATATAAATAAACATTAGTACCGTTTCTTTTGTAAATTTATGAGTGTACTTGTTGTTTGAGGTACTTAGCCTGCAAAACCTTTTAATAGGATTTTTATCATATTCTCAGAGTACAATACCAATCTCAGCCCAGGTGAAGGGGGTCATCGGGAGTTTGGCCTCAAAGTGAAGGAGGCGAGATCCATCACTCCCCCTATCGCAACTATGGTCCCAATTTTAAGGTTTCAAACATAAAACTTGACATACTTTAATGACCTAAAGTCAGTAAATAAGAAAATATTTTTAGGGTGGTATGAATCGCTTGAGTATCACTAGAAAAGGAAGCTGCAAGTATAAACAAAAGCAACAAGTTTAGATTCCACTGGTACCTATAATAGAGGAAAATGTCAGCAAACCTATTTACTTGTTGTCAAAAACTCCGAAGCTGACAGCGGCGTTTACCGAAAAGCATCCTAATTTCATAGGCGCTAAACATACTGTGTCTAGTTGCATTTTTCACTAAATGAAATGAATGTTAGTGTTTGTAGCTCACTAGATGGCTTACCCGGCTCCGCCCGGCCCTGTCATTATTTTATTCGTAATCAGCATGCTCGATTACCCCCCTGTACCAACTCCCAGCCCCGTAGCTCAAATTTTGCAAAAAATCGATAAAATCGATGTCGATCGATGACGAAAAGTAGCCTTTGACACCCGCCGGGGCCCGAAGTGTATGTGTGCCAAGTTTGGCCCGGATCGGCTCAGAAATGGAATTTTGTATTCGGAACATACGTACACACAGACAGACATACAGACATACAGACAGACAAACAGACATTCAGCTTTATATATAAGATAAAACTTATTGCAGCAGCCCTCTAATAATCGCCACTGTTTTATCCATTGCAAATCATACTGAGCAGCGCCAACTCAGACAATCGCTGGGGGCAGGCGGGCACCGGAAAAATAGATTGCTGATTTCTCGCACCCCGCTCGCGGATTTTTTGCAAAGCAATCAGGACTTTTCGGAAGACCGCTTGCTGAATCAGCGGATTTTTGAGAGACCGCCTGTTGTTTTTTTTTTCGCTCTTATCTTTTGCAGATATATTGCTGAATCTCTGAGGAATCGAGAACTCAGCAAGCGGTCTTCCGAAAAGTCCTGATTGCTTTCCAAAAAATCCGCGAGCGGGGTGCGAGAAATCAGCAATCTATTCTTCCGGTGCCCGCCTGCCCCCGGCGATTGTCTGAGAAGCTGTACGTGAAACCTGGGCATCAGAAAGAGAACCAAAATTCATTAAAGTGAGTCAAATTTTGTTCTACGTTTCAATTCCGGCTGTGCTATAGATTTCAGTTCTGGACTTAGACCAATATCTATAGTGTACACGATTTCCCACCGCACATCTTGTGAAAGAAAAGTTACTCCCATTACATCTGGTTAACATATTTGCCTATGCAGCACCCCCGAGGAGTCCCAAACGGAGGTTCCGCGACATCTAGGTTGTAGTAATCCCCCGTCGTGATGCTCGCGACGTTCGAAACATCGCACGTACCCAATACGCGTCGTTTCGGGCGCGATTCGTCGCGTGCCTAATTCTTATCACGGGCGTGGCGATCGCTGGACGTCGCGACTGCAGGACGTGCTCGTCCTTGCGCGCAGAGGACGAGCACATCGTGAACGTCATCACTTAGGCCCGTATGCACGTACATCCCCGCGGGGAGAGGACGGAACCTGAGAGGGGAAGCGTCATATCTCGCTAGTCTATGTATCTTTCTTCTTCTTTCTCTGTCTTGATTTTTAAGGTTCTCATACACTGATACCTGCGCATAACGGATGCCAGGTTACTGCCATGCAAGATCAGATATTCACTATTTCGTCTGATCCCCTGGGGATCCCCAGGGGATCGGAAGAAAAAGTGAATACTTAATCTTGTATAGCAGTAACCTGGCATCTATTATGCGCAGGTATAAGGGTATGAGAACCCTCATAAGCACGATAGAGAAGAAAGAAGAAAGATATCTAGAGCAGTGAGATATGGCGCTTCCCCTCTCAGATCCTCTCCCCTCCCCGCGGGGATGTACGTGCATACGGACCTAAGCCTGATTAACTGCGATTTTATTCTCATCTCTCTAACTTTTGTGAAATATAGTACTCATCAATTATCAAGGCATTCTTCCTGCAAGTATAGATCTTGAAATGCAGATATGGTGTCCAGAGGAGTTGTCTACGCCTTCGGTCCATTATCCGTAATAGAGATAGAAGACGGAGACGGACAATAAGAAGTGCATATCTCAATGATCGCCACTTATATAATATAATGTAATATTATGCAGGTTGTCATTTTTGCATTGGTGTAGCTTGCACGAACAGACTAGAAATTTCATGTACATTTGCAGATGGATCACATTTGTCAGCCCAATCGTTTTGAGAACTGTAATGACAGAAGGCCACAATATCGGAGACATGGCTACTCCAGCCAGATCTTATACGACACCTCTTTGCTCCACACCTTTCCATAGGAGTTGTCAAAAGTGAATGTGTAATCGCCCGTAGTTTTGCATTCCAATCGACCTATTTCAGGATGGAAATCTGTACTAATGCGGAAAGTCGGATACGCCTGGAACATAAGCACTTTTAGACATAAGTATTTAGGTGAATTGTATGAGTTCTCTCTATTCATACGCACCAGTTCTCCATCTTTTTGAACACCGAAATTTACATCTCCATTGCTAACTCGCCATATCCACCGTAGCGTCCTTCCCTTTTCACCTCTAACTTTCACCTGAAACGTCAGCAAGTTGGGCAACAGCAAATCAGGACTAACAGTAAGCGCAGTCCGTTTACCAACCTCTGTTTTTGATCTTGCAGATATGGTGATCTTCTTGAACTGTTTCTTATTGTCATCAGGATTATCATCTGCTCTGTATCTAAAATGCATATGAATCATAAACAGCCGTTTACATCACAACAAAGTATAGTAACACTCACTGAAGTTTTTCTGGCACTTTTCCACCCATCCGAATATCTCCTGTGGGAGAATCGGAAACCTTGGTTCCACCCCAATGCGAGTAAATATTATGGGATCCTAGCTGAAAAATTTTGCACGTTAAAATTGAGCAGGTGTAGATTAGGTGTCGTATGTAAACTTTTTAGCTAAAGTTTTGGGAACAACTAAAAGGCGTTATCCAAGCAGCAGCTCATATTTGTTCGGCGGAAAAATTATCTTTAAACTCCTGCCCAGACCGTAATCCGATAACGGTATGCTGCGCAAAAGAGTACGATGTGGGCACGAATATGGAGTTGAGTTTCTTGTCCACCCTTGAAATAGAGTTGTCGTTAGGGAGAAAATCCAATGGGGCCCTGGCATCACTTTCCATTTGGAAAGCAGGTACATTTACCGAATTTCCCTTCAAGACGAGTCTTGCTGCACCACACTTTGGAAGTGGACAGGACGGTTAACCGTAGAAATTTTGCGGAATATCAGCAGCTGTTATCATATCAAAAATGATCGTAGTCTACAGGCATGATTACCCGCAGAGCACTTTGAGAGTTGGTCATGTCTGTATGTAGACTACGCCCGCGATAAGTAAAACGCTTGCATCAACAAATCACATGCTTCGACAAATCACGATGGTTTTTCAGAGATCAGCATACCGCTAGTGAGTTGAACATCAGAATGTGACACTTACATCTTTTATTAGAACTTCTTTCCAGTCACTTCCCAGGAAAACCACCTAAAAACAACTACTGTTTTACGAGATGCAGAAGAATTGCAAAAGATGGACAATACTTCACTTTGCACTTACTTTTTCTCTAGTTTGCCTCGAAAGTACAGGTTGGACCATGCCGTAAACGGTCCTGATCATTACGGGGCAGTTGATCAAGTAGATGCGCCGGCCGAAGTCGGGAAAGAGAGTCTAAATTACTTACCAGATTATAGAACACATGTACTATCAAAGTACAAACTCGATTCCATTGATTCTGCTATTACTACAGACACTGTGCATCAAGGAAAAAACATTGAGCCAGCTGTTTTCAGCTGCGGGAACTTGAGGAGCTACCTACTTGAACACTTTGGGCTTACATCAAGCCAACAATCATCCAATAGCATGCAAATATTTGTAAATTGGCCAATGGAACTGAGCAAATGAAAAAGCCCCTCTTGTACCAGAATTCTATGCCCTATTTACATCCTGTTGAGAAAGGCCGGGTCAAGTGTCTTTTTCGCAGAATATAAAAAATTAATTTACAAACATGAACCTGCGATCTGTGCGATCTATGTATATGCTAATGCTAGAGTCAAAATTATTACAGTGGAAATTGGTTCCATACATAACACGGTTTATACGTGCATGGTACTATCTCTGCAGTTCGTGGCAAGTTGCACTTTACGTCTTTCATAGAAGTGGAAAGCAGTTACACATTCTCACTTCTTATTGTTCAATAGCTCGGATTGCAAATGCGAGTTCCTCCGAAGTTCTGCTCTTTCTGGAAAGCCCAAGGCCAAAAGTTGCTTGATAAAACAACAAGAGCAAAGAGCAGGATTTCGGTTTAGCTCGTTTGCAATCCGAGCTATTGAACAATAAGAAGTGAAAATGTGTAATTGTCTTATCAAGCAACTTTTGGCCTTCGGAAAAAACGAAAAAAACTTGTTAGTTACTGCGCGGTCACAACACATTTGCATTCTATAAAGACAGCATTAAATTTCACGCATTCCATAATTCTTCTTTAATTCCTTTCTAGATCTTCAGGGCACGAAGAGGATGCTATCTATTGATAGAAAATACTATAATTGCACTTAATCGAGATTTTATGCTGGTTCACGTGAGACCACTTCTACCTTTGGAACCTTCATGGTGCTCGCTACAGATTGTATCTTCGTAGTTTTCTCTCAATATTTGAGAGGCTTATATAGTGTATAGGTTTCGCATGATCGAGAAATTTATCTACGAAGACTTGGCATATATGTAATTGCTTGTTGTGGCTGAATCATGCTGAACAGGAAGGAGAGGCACCCGAACACTCCTTTAGGTATTCTAAACGCATATCAAAACGCCTCTTGCTTCTTTTTTACATGATTTTTAAGCAAATTTGATTCAAATCCGAAAGAAGTTGAGGAAAATTCAGATACCTGCAAAAGTGTAAGCAAGTTGAGGTAGGCACCGAGTGCTGGAGGATAGATCACGTCCATAGAGAATTCGTCCAGATCAATAATAATTTTTGCTCCAAGTTTTCGTCCTGTAGCGGATTCGGCCTTTCTGAAAATTATAGTAGACGGTTCAAATTATCCAAGCGAAGAGAGGGTCGGAGCCGTACTGTCTTCCCAATTCTATTACGACAATTTGACACTTTGCAAGAAGACAGTGTTCTGTTTTTGCTTATGCGCTGACATTATCAGTCAAATGTCAAAAAAAACAGTCGGGAGAATTGGTCTTGAAGAGAAAAAGAGGAATGATTAGTGTTAGTCAAGACGATAGAGAATTTTCGTATTAAGATAACTCACCTCACAAGTTTGAAAGCAAGTTCGGCTTCTACTACGCTTATTCTCAAGAGGTCACTAACGCATCCGGAACGTATCAACGATTTCGGATGTGAACGAGCCAATGGCTGCATATACACCACATTTCCTTCGTCATCTTGACACATTAGTCCACCTACAGCAATTGCAGTCAAATCTATTTCGTAGTAGAAGCAAACTGAATTACCGGGAAAATAATTGCACACATTTGACATTGAACGAATTTTTGCATTCAGCTCGTAAATATCTTGCACGGAAATCTCATGTAAACCCAGTGATGTGAGCACGTCGATTGACTCGCGTAATTTCGGCAAAATGACTTCTGAAGAATATTTCGACAGCGATAAAATACAGTTCCGCATTACCTATGTCGTAGTCCCATCCCATTAACCATCTGAGCAAGGAGAAGTCCGTGTCATAATCAGGATACTTAGCCAAATGTTCCGAGGCTTTTTCTCGTAGTTCAGCAATTTTATCCTTTTGATAAGTAGTCAGTTCTTCGGTCGATATGTAGTGGTTCTCAACCGTCATTCTAAAAAAAAACCAGTGATTAAGTCGTGATAAAGAAAAGCTCATTTAATCAGATTCATTTTTAGGAGAATGTTGTCATAGTTGGAAGTACACTAAGCCAGTGGCACAATTAGTTGCAAGAATGCTAATCCATGAAGATCCAATTTTCGGCACTGATCACTGAGCAAGTAAGACTGGATTCAAATGGAAGTGACAAAGACGATTTTCTGTGCGTGTTGAGCAAGTCTGTGTAACTCGCAAGTAATATTAAATTTTAAGAGCGACCGATTAGACGAGTGTTTCCTCATCTGTTTTATCTGCTGACTAACTGTGGCATATGTGCTTCAATCAGAAACAAAGAAAGTACTAATACTGGGAGAAGCTGAATTTTATTCAAGCATTGAAAAATTCTTCATCCTTTGATGGAAATGACGTTTCGAGTTTAGGGCCGGGCGTACATCACGCAATTTCATCGCCTTGCGATTTTCCCGACAAGACAACTGTTACGAGTCAATTGCATCTCGATCATATTGCATCTCGGTTGTGATAAAAATTCATCATTAGTCGAGTTGGGAAACTATTACTACCGAATTGCAAGATGATCGGCATGGACTCGTAACAATTTCTTGTCGGGGGAATCGCGCGGCGATCAAATCGCTTGATGTATGCCCGGCCCCTTTAGCACAATTCTGCCCAAATGTAATTTGTTAGGCACCAGAAATGGACTATAAACAGCATATAACAAAGAAAGTAACACGAATGTGGGTAAGACTGCCAAGGGGATGTTGTAATATAACTATAATCTAAAATTTTTGTAGCGAAATGTATGTGTTAGATAGCAATAAGTTTAGTTTGAAATGTTTTCTTGGATAATGAATTGTACAACAATTGAAAAACAAGAGCAAGTGCGAGAGATTTTGCCACTTTGCAGTCTGTAGGTCAAAAGATGGACCAAGTAACTATTGATGTTAAAAACACCGATTTTCGACCAAGTGCAACAGAATGTGCCTGTTTTTTTGCGGAAAAATATTGCAGTCATACATTTCCGGTTTGCTCACTACTACTAGACTCCATAATGCCCTCGAAGAACTTAAGCATGTGAGGTGGCTTTTCACAAGTTTCATAGCATTGGAAAGCTCGAGAGTGTGTAAGACTGGCCATGGCCGAATGAAGAACACCATCTTGGGCATTTTCGAGTGCTTATCTTCGCATAGATAGCGTCAGGTAAGCTCAATAAAAGATAATTATGTAAGAACAAAGACTAGCCTGATCATGCAAAAAGAGTCGTAAATTGAAGAATCAGACGAATCTCCCACCTCAAAACTACAAGATAGCGTGCGACAATGATTGACAGGAAGATGTTCTTTTGGTGGTCCGTTATCAGCCATTGTTGCCCCCATGGTTGCCAAGATCACGTGCTCCAAAGTGGAAGCGATCGAAATATTCGGAACACACCTTGAGAATGGAACATAGAGAGGGAGGGACTCTTTTCAAAATGAAAGAGACATGATATTGTTCGAGGATTATCGATGTTTGTCTAGAAAGGTACTCATTCTTAATGATTAAGCTGTTTGGCAGGCCGTATCAGCACTTGCTGCTTGAAAATCTATATTCTATGAGAACTCTGACGGTTTCGACAAAAATATCGCTTAAATGAACCACGCAAAAACCAGGCGTAGGCATTTTGCAGAACTAGAGGGTGAAAACTATTTGTTCGATCGTTAGAAGATTTTCAATCACGTTAGATGGAAGTTTCCACTGCGCTGCAGCACTTCAATTCTAAACTTGTGAGCAGAGACCAATGTCGTTAAAAAATTGTGGGTTTTTTAGTTTCCGAATTTTTGAAGAATATTGAAAGGTCACAGATCAAAACAGCGTAAAAGCATTCTTGACTTATAGTCACAGTGTTGAACGCAAGGAACCTGGAAAAGTAAACAGAAAATATCACTGAGACATTTCATAGCAGGTTCTGTCTCATTCCAAAGACCATAGATCCTCTACAAGTTATCGTATCTCCCTGCTGAAAGGGTAGATCATGGAGTTCTTTCCATATAGAATGATAGCGTTGCTTTCCAAATGACCACCTGACTGGAGACCTCGTAGCGTTATTGTCCTGATACAAGGCACCTAAGCTATATTTGATTCAAGTTCGGAGAATTATTCTGAAATATTGACTTCCATCCGCTAAGCTCAAAGATGAGTCGGCATTTCAAGAAAGGAAATTTTGACTCTAGTAGGATAGATGGAAACACTTTTATATTCACATATATTTCATACACTGGACATACTAGCTTTGTTTTGAGCGATATTTGTAATCGTGAGTAATTTGGTATTAATCTCTCGCCCTTTTTGTTACTAATTATTGTAAACTTAATAGCTTCAACAAGTTTCGGTTCTCCAGCCAAAATGTATTTGCTTTACGCGCCATTTTGTTGTTTTGTAGACAGCTCGTTGTTTGTTTACGCGTAGGAATCGTTCATTTCAGGGACCCCACGTCTGATTGATGTGGGAGGTTAAACTTACAAGCATTCTGCTTTGAATGACTGAAAGAAGTCCTATAAGCCTACCAGTATTAGACCATTGGGAAGTTTCTTGTCTCTATTAGAAAAATTCTTTTGAACTAAACTCGTAGAATAATTCTCAGTGGAGCAGCGTTCAGCTCATACACTTTGCCATATTCGTTAGATGTTTGGTCACATAAGTCTTGTCAATATCATTTACCAATATTGTACTGTCATGATGTTGACATCTATTTGTCACCTTTAATAAGGGTGCTCTTTGTCAAAGGACAGGTACCAATTCATGTGACCTTTGTGACGCTTGGAATGAATTTCTTGTTCTGCAACTCTATGAAATCAGGAGAAACTACTCATTGGCATTGCCGTTACTTGATTTGAAGAACAAGGTTGTGAATGTTTCTTTATGTAGTTTAGCCGCTTGAGTTGAAGCCAGGATAGGTACCAAGACCAGTTTGTATCTAGCTGTCGCAAAAATTCGTAATCCTGCATGATGAGTGAATGAAAATGTAGACTTGTAAAACTGTTTGCATATCATGCTCACACTTAGATATGTAAAGCATACGCATGTGTTCATATTTTTATTTTTGATGAGCTGAGTTGTCTCATAATTACAGGGTGCGGCAAAAGTTTGGGAGCCTAGTAGTTTTTCGTACAAAACGAGAAGGGAAGTACCTAGAAACGAAAAATTTGGCGCACACATAATTCGAACCATTGCAGATATAGCCCAGTTCTTGAATTGCAAAAGTGCCTCTTCTGGCTTTCACGCAGCCCTACAAAATCTTGGCAAGTCCACCTGTCATAGCACGCAGGTAGTCGTAATGGAATTCGCCCCACGCCTTCACAATAACTGCTTCTTTTACCTTGGCAAATGCGCTGCATGATAGGGCAAACTTTTGTCTACAACATACTTCCAAAAGAATTTTTTGCATTGCTTAGGAATAAAAATATTGGATTTTCAATTAGAAGCATGTGTACGTCGCATACCGGAATTTGGCTACAATTGCGCGGAAGAAACTCAAAAATATCGTTTAAAAAGTATAAAAAGTGTTCCCATGGCCGAATTTCAATAGATTCTAATTTAGAAGACGTATGCAAAAAATACAGCCTTGGTCCCAGTGCCTGTTGAGCTTTCTATAGCTTTTAAATTTGTTCTGAAGACGGATTTCTACTGGCACGTAGGTAACATTCCCAAACTTTTATTTTCCGTTCATGCAAGAACAGCTCCTGCAAAAGCAAAACTAGGATACAATAGCGCAAAGCCTCTTCTATGTTGTGTGCATCGAAGTTTTGTAAAATATTAACAGCATCTCTAGTTACAGCGAAAATTGTAGATACCAAAAATTCTGATTTTTTCGCTTTGCAAAAGTACTAGTTTGATAATTTCCATTCCTACAAAAACATATGGCAGCCATTTTCAGCCAAATAAAGTGTATTCTGTAGAGGATGACCGCAGCATCACGTGGCATAAAATTGAAATCAAAACCCTCAGTATCTTCGTAATAGCAGTACTACAAAATTAGGCTCCCAGACTTTTGCCGCACCCTGTAATGCGAGCTCATTATAGTATGTAGGTCGTTCCAAAAGTAAGGTTGCTTCTTTCAAATGAACGCCACATTTCACGGAATCAAGATTTTCAGAAGATCTTAGGAGCATTCGATGCGCATATTGTCCCCTTTCTAAAGGTTGTAATTTTATTGCATAATATTCAATAAGCTCTCGAAAAATTTCCAGAATCTGCGACTCATGCTTTTTGTCATGGTCAAGTTCGGCTATTTTTCTAAATTTTTGTACCTATTCTCCGAAGAAGTTTAAGTGACGGGTAGATAGAACAAACCCTTTAGGACACAAACAATTTTCTCCTTTTCCTCAGTTTGCTTCTTAGAGTTTGTAGAATCAATTTTTCAGTGCTTATAAATTCCATGTTTGGTCAACTCAAAACCTACATAACAACAATCGGCAAGCTCCGGTTTCGACGCAGCATTTCCTCCTCTTTTTACAAGTTGTTTTTGGTTTTCGATTCATAAAGTTTTCCGGGATGAAATCATCATAATTCAAGTTTTCCGAGGCGTCCCAGGCTGTACCCGAAAATTCCGAAAGTTGCTAAGGGAACGGCCATAGGTTGTCGATGTTGTCGGTGTTGTCGGTGTTGTCGATGTTGTCGGTGTTGTCGATGTTGTCGGTGTTGTCGATGTTGTCGATGTTGTCGGTGTTGTCGGTGTTGTCGGAGCTGTCGGGGTCAGAGACAGTTTAGAGAGCGCGAGAAACGTGGAGGCTATCATGAGGTCCTACAACGACCGGCAACCTCGGCAACCCCGACAACCCCGACGACACCGACAACACCGACAATCGACAACACCGACAACACCGACAACATCGACAACACCGACAACCTATGGCCGTTCCCTAAGCTAAAGCGGTAAATGCTCATTTGCTATGTAAAATTAGTGTCGACAACCGGAAACTTATTGGTGTTTGATGCATTTGTGTCTGAGACAAGCTTGCTAAAATTCGGTGATTTCATTGAAAAATCTCTGCAAAAATTATTGATGAGCTAAATAAAGTAGAAAAAAATCGTGCTGTTCCCTATAGGGTTTGCTCATACCACCTGTTACTTGGACTCCTTCGGAGGATTGTTGTGAAAATTTAGAAAAATGTGAAACTTGACCTTCTCAAAAAGGATGGAGGTTTTGGTGATTTTTTATAGCTTATCGATTTTTGTGCAATGCTCTTACAACCATTAGAAAGAGAATGAAGTGCTGCATCGAATGCTACGAAGTTCTCCTAGAAATCTTCCTTTCGCGAAATGTAGTGTCCACTCGAAAAAGCGACACTACCTCCGGAACGACCTAATACAAAAGCAGAGTAGATGTCTTGGAGGAAGCATGCCACTCGTTAAAGATGTCATGCAAAATTTGCGAGAACTCGATTTGAAGTTTGAAAAAAAATTTTATTACAGAGAATTTGAAATGCTCAACAATCAGAGCTTCGTCCTAGAAAGTGATGCGCACTTTCGACTTGTCAAGCAAATACTGTCCACATTAGACATCTATGTGTACAGCGGCTGTATCTCATGGCTGGGAAACGATAAAAGAGCGAACAAAACTATGTAAATAGACTTTTTTTATGGTTTTACTTCCGAAGGCTTGTGTTATAGAAATGCCTAGATGCGAATAACGCAGCAATGCTTCCGCTAAACCACACCAATTATCGTTTCCCCAATTTCGAGCAAGAAGAAAATTGTTTGCATATGAACGCTGTACACTGATACGGTATACTGACGATGCTATACCGATGTAGGGAAGACCCTCCACCTCGATTAACTTTGGTTTTTCCGCGCTGCCGTCAAGTTGCGCGTACCCTCTGCATCGCCCATGCGGAACGTTCCGGGCGTCGCTTACCGGCGCTTTGGAAACTCAAACACCTGATTTCAGTGGCTGCAACTTCTTTCGTGAGTTTCTTTATTGTTACTCTTACTTTTTTTTCGGAGATATGTGGAAATGATGGCAGGAATAGCATAAGATTAAAAGCTTCAGCAAAACTATGAAGGAACCGTCAAAATTGTTATTAAGTTGCCACTTTGTCACAGCCAGACATTTTTGCTATTCTGGCCAGTTTATCCCTGAATGTTTATCTTCTTCTCAAGAATTACACCTCTGTAATATGTCATGCAAAATGGAAATAGTTTGGCAGTATGCTATGTAGAAAACTCGTTATGGTTACCGATAAGGACAGGAGATTGAATGCATGTCTATGACATATTGTAGAACGCAAATTTAAACAAAAGGACAAATGTTGCTTGTCGAAGGGAGCACACACACACACACACACACACACACACACACACACACACACACACACACACACACACACACACACACACACACACACACACACACA